GACCCCTCCAATCCCAATACTCACCATCATCCACTTCTCTTTTTTCTTTACATATTTATATATGTGATTTTTGGTGGTGTCCATGACCAAGAACTTAAGGTTATAAAGAGTTTCGACTCATATCATATGTGTCAAGATTATAAACATAGACCTATACATTACGAAATATATGTCCATACATTGGTGTAAGGAAAATTATATTGGGATAGGTGTTTGTAAAGCCTTTAATTAAGCTTCAAATTAAAGGAATATTTAAGGCCAGAGAGAGTCTATAGCAAAAAAAAATCGGTCTCTAATTTTCTATACAAAAAAAAAAAATCGGACCTTTTTAAAAGAAAATTTTGTCTAATATTTTTTTTTTTTATAAATGAGCCCTATGCAAATGCACTCCTTGCACATTCCTAGGACCGGCCCTGGGTATATTGAATGTGCATATATACACTTATTAATGACATTTCTCTTGAAAATTTCACAATAGTTATACGTGATTCAATCCAATATATTGATAAATAAAATATTTTTACCGGTGTTTTATATGTAAGATCACCCGCCGAAACGTCCATGTACTTGAGATATCTAGATTTACGATGATCTTCTAGTACAATTTTGTTAATTGTATAAGTTTGTAATTTTTGCATGGTTTATGTTTCTCATGTTTAATATTGAGGGTGACTATATGATTTTGTTATTGCCTTATTGGTTTAGAAAAACTAGTTTATATTTTCATAAATTTATAAAATTAATTACATTTACGGTTATAAATAAAGTTTCTTCCGTAAAAGAAAAATTGCAGCTTTTTAGTTGGAAAATGACAAGATGGATAATATGCCTGATAAAATATATAAAACAATATTTTTTTTATATAACCAGAGGCTGATTTGAGTTTTTACCACCCAACTAATCTCCTATGATGAGTGTAGCAGTTAAATAACTCATTCGTCGGGTTTTCTAATAGATATAATGCATTAATTACACTATTTTAAAGAAAATCGAACTCAGAACCTTTGAACCCTTTTATCACTA